TTTATTCTCTTTTTTTTTAGAGGCTTCATCTTTCTTTGCTTCGTTTATCTCTCCTGCATCGAGCTTACCATTTTTATGGTATTTTTAATAATTTCATCAGATATCACCATATCTGTAAAACTTTTAGTGGCATTGCCTATAAATCTTTCATAGTACGATACTTTTAAGGTATTCACAAATAAGACAATTGTCTCTTTCTTAGTGAAAAAAAGTTAAACTTGTGTAGTCATATCTCTTTATCTCTGTGTATACTCTTTAAAACTTTTGGTTGTCTTCTTTTCCATGTTCTGTAGAGATGATGATCTAGAGCTAAATCTATGATATACCGATATTGTATAAGGAATGTCCTTGAGAGCTCTTGTCAGGAATGGATATGAGTCCTATCTAGTTAAACATACCATCTGGTTGCAGATCTTGTAAGGCTATCCTGAAATATATGTATCAATAACTTTTCATCACGAGCATGTGTCACCATTTTACGATAATACATAGTGACATGAGTTATTGGGTATTTTGTGCCATCATATTTTTTAAATTCATAAACCTTGAATTTGGGTGAATAGATCACATTTGGAACTAAAAAAAGTTCAGTTGCATCCGTAGAGCCATAAAAATTTATTCTCTCTATGGGCTTAAGCCTTTCTTCTAATAATTTTATCTTTTGTTGAGCACTGATATCTTTTACTTTTTTAGATATCTCTATTTTTAGTTTTTCTCTCTCCTTGAAATCATCCAAGTTTGGAATCAGAATTGGCTCAGATGGTTTTTCTACCATTATAGGATTAATAAAATTTTGGAATTATCTTGAAACAGGTGTGGACATCATCCCTAGATAAGAATTGGCATATCCTCTGAGGGTAGGAATTTGAATTTTGACTTCTTAAAAAGGTTGAGTTGGCCGTGGTTCAAACCCTGAAGGGTATGTAGGATCCACCATTTCTGGCAATTGTTTTTAGAAGCTAGGATTTCCTTCCACTGTTTTTTCTTTATCCAGATTCTTGAGCATGTCCATTATCCTATTAAGATCCTCTTTTAGTCCTTCTTGAGCCTTTTCAATCCTTTCAAATCAACTGACTTGTTCTTGTTCCATGATTTGTTTGAGCTCTGGTATTGTATGAATGACAAGTAGATTGAGTCAAAAATTTTTGGTGGGCGAGCCATTCTTGAAACTTCATCACCAAATTTTTTAAAAAAAATAATTAAAATGCTATGTGTTGAAAATTTTATTTCATATTTTTTATTTTTTTAAAAAAATAAAAATGATGCACATGATGCATGAATGCGAGTGGGAGATATTTGTTTTTGGATAAATTTCAACAATAAAAATTCTTCATGAGATTTGAGCAAGTCTATAGTTCTATGAGATTCATGAAGACTTCTCAGGAGAAAGATATCTTAAAGCAAATACCTTCATGCAAAACTGTATGATATGATTAATGTAAAAAGAAAAACAAAACAAAATTGAGTTAGTGTGAGGAGGTGGTTTACGATAAAAAAAATTTTGAGATTTTTTTTATTTTGTTTTGTATTACATTCAACTTTTATTTCTATACGTTTTGGACTTAAGTATTCTCTACAAGAGGGTGGATAAAGTTCTACCTAAAGTTAGCTTTCTAGGTTTATTACATGCTTGGTTTAGGTCGACATGCATCTAAAGGTTCCTAAATTGTTCTTTACTATCGTCCATGTTGGACTAGTAAGGCACCTCGATCCTAACCCATTACAGGCTACGAATGAAAATGTTCAATTTGAGTGAAAGTATTTCGTTTGTAATTGCGGAGGTTATCACTTCAAGCAGGCATAGGTACTTTACTTTCTCTTATAAATGACAGAGTCTGGGTATAGAGCTCATGCATGAGATGCATCGTGTCATTGTGTGTGTATATATTTCTTAATTTATCAAAAGTAATATATATAAAAATAAAGCATAAGAAACACAATAAAAGAAACGTGTGTGAATTTTCTTTTTGTTTTCTATTTTTTTATGGAAAGTGAAAAATAAAAATTTAAAGAACCGTTAAATCAAAATTTAAAGATAAGACGTAGTTAATTTTGGCCTGACTGTCGAAAACAAATGGCTTCCCCAATAGAGTCGCCAAGCTGTTGTAACGGTTTTGGGGTCACTCGACGAATTTGAAAACGAAAATAAAAGAACGAAAAACAGAGTCGCCACCAATCTTTTTTGACTAGATGCAATTGGTCACCTATTAAAATTTATTTTTTTAATAAGATTTTAAAATTAATTAAAATTTATTAAAAAGATAATTTTATGCTCTATGAAAAAGTCTGAGTTCAGTAGTCGGTTACGTGTGGGGAAGGATTAGCACCCCCATAGCGCCCGTTTAAAAATGGTACCACTTAACTAACGTGTTATCCTATAATTTTAATAAAAACAGCCTTATTTTCGATGTTTGAAAAATAATTTCTTTGATTTTTTCATTTATTAGAAATTATTTGAAAAAAAGGTTTATTATTCAAATTTTATTCGAGAAAAATAAATTAGAATCTTTTTATTAAAATAATTCTTAAAATATTCGAATACGTTGATAACATTTAAAGAACTCTTTCTTACCTAGAGATTTCTAAGGCATCGCTTCTTGGAATACCTTAGAATCTTATCTTCGGAGGCTCAAATTTATTTTTTGTAAAAAATTTATACCGTGCATGCAATGCAAATGATAATACGTTAACGCACACATTTTATTTTTATTATTTAGAAATTTTATTAATTTTTATTATTATTTTTATTTACAAAATGAAAAAAGAAGAATTTTTATTATATTGAAAATTTTTTACAAATATTTCAATACATTGGTAATATTTAAAAAATTATTCTTACCTAAAGATTTCTTAAAGCATCTATACTCGAAATACTTTTAGAATCTCATTATCGGATAAAATTTTCTTTTTTCTCATTTTTTATTACTTATTCTTAATTTATTAATTAATTATTATTTACTATTTTATATCAAAAGAAAATTTTTATTGTATTAAAAATTTTTTATAAATATTTCAATACACTGATAGTATTTAAAAAAATCTTATCACCTAGAAATTTCATAGATATCACTACTCGAAGTATCTTTGAATCTCATCATCGGATAAAAATTTTTTTTTCATACATTTTTTTAATTATGTATTATTATTAAGTTTATTTTTAAAAATAACATAATTATAAAAATTTTAACAATATTATAAAACAACAAAAATTTATTATGGCAATTTTAAACATTTTAACATGCATAAATATTAATAATAAAATTAAAGTAACAAAAATAATATTTAAAAAAAATCAAAAAATTCAAAAATAAAAAATAAAAAATAAAATTTTTTTTACCTAAACCAGACTAGTCAACGGTCCAATCAACGTCGGTCCGACGGTCTGGTCGCTTTCAACAGTTTGAGGCCAATTTGACTCGGGTTTAATGGTTCAGGTTTGGTTCGAATCGAGTTTAGTGGTTCAATTTTGGTTCAGTTGAACCAGTCAGGCCTGGGGCTAAGGGGAGTCGGGTCGATAGGTCGATTTGCGCAAATCCCTTGTCGGATCCAGGTCCACGCACGAATCTTCTCATCCAGCAAAACGACGTCGTTTTGAATCTCAGCCTTTTATAAAAGCTAAAAAATATTTTCTTCTCTCATTTTTCTTCTCCCTCTCTCTTTTTACACTCTCAAACCCCCTCTCTCAAGATTGGTGGCCGGTCACCGTCCGTCACTTCGACAATCGTCGGTGGTCGTTGACCGGTCACTAAAAATACTCAAAAAACACCAAATCGTTCCCTTCAATCCCCTCTCATTGGATCCGACCTCCTTTTTACCAAAACAGCCCCGATCGACATAGATTGAGGTTTAAAGTTTCAGTCTCCCCCTTTTTTTTTAAACTAAAACTAACTATTTTACTTTTTTTTGTTTTTATAGGTTTTGCTTGGCATTGGGTTTCTCGTCGAATCGGCGAAAACTATGATTTTTGTTTGAATGATTTTTCTTTGGTAGGAAGATTTTTTTTTTATTCTAAAAACTTCTTTTTTTTTTTATTTTGTTTTTGTAAGATCCCCTCCCTTTCCTCTTTGTCTTTTTTGGGATCGACCAGGAGCTCTATTTATAGAGCTCCCATCGCGGCCCTGTGCCTGGGCAGGTGGCACAAGGTTTGGCAGATGGGAGATGCCGTCTACCCTCTCTTGTTTCTTCTGTTTTATTTGGTTTTGGCCTTGTGCCTGGGTAGGTGGCATAGGGCCTAGCAGGGGGTGATGCCAGTGGTGCCATGCACGACACCTAGCACCTCCTACTTTGTTTTTTCCTTTTCTTATATTTTTTGTTTATCTTCTCTTTTTTTGTTCTTTTTTTGTATTATTATTGTATTTAATAATAATATTATCTTATTAACAAATTTGATCAAGGTCAGATAAATTTGATGTTGACACTATGAAAAAATTCATTGGTCCTTTTCATTCTCTATTTATATAATTGCCCTTTTTTTCTTTGTTTGTTTCTTGCCCAAATTTGGTATTGTTTGTTCTTTCTTTCAACTATTAGTTTTGGTTTTGGTTTTGTTTTTGGTTCAAGCTTCAAGCATTGAACTGCCATGCTGTAATTTGAGACATATTAATTGGAAAAAGAAATCCTTCCATGGAATCTGTGTGAGATGAAGATTCGTGACCAATTCTCCATTACAGAAACAGAGATCTATATCCCTCATTATCCTTAAAGGTCCAAGATCACCATAATCATAAAATCCTTCTATTCTTTGCTTTCCCATAACTATCTCCTTAAATGAAGGCCTAACATTAGAATTTATTAAGCATTCAACTTAAAATCAATTTATTGTAAATGAAGAGATCCAACCTGAATGTAAAACTATAAAAAATTAAATATTTATTAGATGTAAAATAACACCACTTTAACAAACTCTCATCAAACAGATTTGAAAAAAGCAATAGAAAAAAATTTTGATTCTAATACCATATTAAGCATCTAATTTAAAATCAATTGACTATAAGTAAAGGGTCCAATCTGAATATAAAACTACAAAAAATTAAATATTCATTAAATATGAGATAATACCAATTTAAGAGAATTAATATAATGGAGAACAAAATACTGAAAAAAGAAAAGTAGTCCTTATAACATTGCAATTTCCAACTATAAACATCCTCTGGGAATGGAATTCAAATTGGCAAAGAGCTAGAAAGAAATCTAATTAATTGCTTCTCATTTACATCAACACACCTGGATATATCTGATGTTAGTACCTCTTTTGTTTTTTTGAACAAATTCCAGTAGTAGTTCTAGTTCTTTTAAAAGGCGTATCTGTAGATGATAATCGTCTTTGCTTGGTGGAAATATATTCTGATATTGAAGCCGTAAAGAATTCGATATTCTTACTTTGGGTCAGTTTCATATATTCCACAATTCGAACTAATCTATACTAAGGATGAATTACAACTCCATATGAAACTATTCATTTCCAACACTAGAATCTGACCTATTATGTTCTTCTTTCCATTGTTAGTAGTGCTTTGATTTCGTTTCAAATTCTCTATAGCCAGCTGTTTCATATTACTTCTTAGAATTCAACAATGATCATAGATTCCAATGAAAAATTACACGTCTTCATCTATTGTTGTACTTTTGGACTCAAATTTACGTACATATGATTCAGCAGAAAAATAGTTGAATTCAAATAACTGAAATATGACATAGCTACATGATAACCATCAAACAGAAAGTTCTAAATTGAAATTTCCCTCTCCAATATTATCAAGATTAATGAAGGACCACATTGGACGACAAGTTTTAGAAGGTTTAGGTAATTTAATACTTGGACCATTATTTCACAGGACCACTGCCCTAGTTGATCTTATTCGGTGGCCTTCCTTTGATCACGAGAACCTTCTTTCTTTTCTTCTTTTCACTCGTCTCTTTTTCTCACTTAAAATTTCTGTTTTAAATTGTTTTCGAAGGTAGGATTACTTATAAAACTAATTACTAATAATCATATATATATTATATGTGGCATAGAACTAGGTTAATGACATTCGATGATGTTTTTAATTGTTCGATTCATGCCCTAACCTCCTCCACAAATCTCTAATCTTTGTTTGGTCTCATATCTGTGATTATGCATTTGATGGGAAACCTTTATTTTACTATTCTATTTTTTTATTCTGATTTTTTTTTTCGAATCTCTTGTCATTGTTTGTCCCATATCTCTTTTTCCCTTTTCCTCTTATAAAAGAAAAAAAAAGACCTCTCAAGAACTTGACTCTATTATTATTATTATTATTGTTTTTTGATATGTCCTGAAAGCTCAGGAAGATAGAAGAAATTTTGGGTTTGACCTCATTATTACAAAATACCCAAAGATTATTGTCTTTTTCTTTATTATATTTATTATTTTAAATTTTCGTGACTCAACACCCTTTCTCCTAGTGGCTGCTTAATCATCCACGTTATCCAAATCTCCTGGAGTAAAGGATTTTTTCACGAGGCAGAGGAGGCTGGCCCTACCAAACTCGACTCGTTTCGAGTGGTAGGGCAGATGGCAGCCGAAGAAAGCAAAAGCAAAGCGAAGGCTCAGCTCCACCACCAACGAGAAAGAAACAGTAGAACTAACGACAAATATGATATATCCCATTGCTTTGATTAAACCCTAATTCCCACGTCCCATACAACAGTGCAGAATTCTACTTTATTTATATTCGCCGTTATCACTCACAAAATTTAAGTCCCATTTTTCTCACGTGCGTGAAATATACAAATTTTCTAATAATATATCCAAAATTCTTTTTTTTTTTTATGAAAAAAAAATTGCAGCATGAATAGTATAAAAAAATAGAGGTAATTAAATTTTTAAAAACTTCAGATACTAATAAATTGCCTTTTGCTTCTGCTTAAATCATCCAAAGATATTTATTTAGTGAAGTATTTAATCATTACTGTTTGTTAAAAAGAAAAAATTTATATAAAATGCTTATTTCATGTTAGTATATATTATTTTTATTTAAATTATGTCATGTAATTATATTATTAAAAAATAATTTATTACATATTATATGTGATAATTAAATAATAATCATATTTATTTTAATAAATTTATATATGTGATATGTAATAAATAATTAATTTTTTTTAAAAAAAAGATTCATTTATACTAACATAAATTTTACATATTTTTTAAATATTAAGATCAAAATAATTGAAATTAAAATATTATTTTTTACATAAGACCTGTATAATTTTTTTTTTTATAAAAAAAATTTAAGAGTAGATAAATTATTTAATTTCTCATATCAAAGTATTTAATAATTTAAAATAAATAACTGCAAATCGTACATTCGAGATGACTTCAATAAATAATTATCGATAAAACTTGAACATAAGATTTTTTCGTCGAAAAGGATGAACCTAATCGATTGAATCAATCCATCGTTGATACACATAAACTTGAAATAATTGTTTCATTCAATCTTTTCTCCTGCCATGCGTCATCCATGGATGAAGTTGAACTCATCAAACATTATCTACCATCCAACTTTCAACATGCAATAATAAGAATTGTTCAAACATTTTTGCAAATGCAGGTAGATTGAAGAAATATGGAACTGTGGAACTTGCAAGAGGAAGAGGGTCAGTAGCACTAACGTCTAATTGGAAACCCAAAAGAGGAAGGTGCAAACTGAGGTCGGTTCACTTCCTTTCTCTCAAAGTCTCTGCAAGTGGGCTTTAATTGGATGGTTGGATCTGCCACTTCCTTTAGTATACAGAGTATCTTCAAGGGATACACCCTGTGGGACCTCTCTGCTTTGGGTCCCAAACTTCCTAAATATCTTTAATGCAAAATAAATGTCTACTTTTTCGAGTTTTATATTACCCACGTACAATCGTGACCCTACCTACAATGCTTATTTTCGACTAATATTTTAGGGTCTTTCTCCGTTGCATACTGTTACAAGTCTTAACGAATTTGTCCTCTAATGGTCCTTCTTTTCCCTTCTTCGGGCTCTGCCTTTTTTGTATAGGTAACTAGTTATCGCCATTAACATAAAGAATAAGTATCATAACTGGCGTTGAATGCAATCATCAAGGACGATCCATACAAATATGAATATGAGAAGTAGGCAAAGGGTTCTTTTTATCTGATAAATATCAGGATTTGATGGACTGAGCAAGATGCAAATTGCAGACCAAAAACAAAAAGAGGTCGGCTAAAATAAGAATAGATAATGATAACGTCGTCGAATGAGCATACAGAAAAGGGTCAGAGCATATATGAGAGAGTAGGGAAAGGGGTGGAAGGCAGTTGGATTACAGAAGGTAGTTGGATTATATGGCGAGAATGCATTTTCACACTAATGGTTCTGATTGCGTGGCAAAAACAAACAAGTTCAGCTCTTATTGGGAAGGTGAAGAGGGAATGGTATTAAAATCGAATTTTTTTGTTTTATGAGATGTTTAGAAAAAAAAAAAAGAAGTTTCATACCTCTAACCAATGATTTGATTGGAACACGTAGCATCCAAAATAAAACATCCTCCCGCATTCTACTACGGCTGTCTGGTCCACTCTGGATTCCGAAGTGTCATAGCAAAAAAACCTTGTCTATATATCATGCACACCTTGGCATGCTTTGATGATCGAGCTCCCAGAACCACCAGCTGTACCATTTTCACCAGCCGAAACACCATTTACCTTCATTCGTTCATACCTCTCTATCTTTATCTCTCCTCTTTTCTCTCCTTTTCTCCCATCCTCTTTTTTCTCTCAGAAATTTTCATTGCTGCAACTGGCAACTGCATTTCTGCACCCCCATGTCTGCCACTTTCAGTGCTTTTCATTTTCATTGTGTTTCTTCTTCCTCTTGTTATGTTTTTCTTGTTCCTTGTTTATCATTCTTGTCCAAACAAGATGGAAATTTTCGCTCAGCCTTTTCCTACTTTCACTTCCACTCTTAGTGACGTATTATTTGCTGAAGCTTGCACATTCATTTTGAACATGTCAGGAGCAAATTGAGATAAACCCGAGTCCCTCTTCACAAGTTTGCTATATATAACCATTCCTTTGAGAGTTACCCATGCCAGAAGTTTAATAGCCTCTATTGTAGGTGTAGCCTTGAGGATTCAAACAACAAAGATGTCATTTTCCTGTACCAAAAACTTCTACCAACGGTTCTGTATTAATGGATTTCAAATGGGCAGTGATATTCATGGCAGTTTCTTCTCAAGTGATCTCCTTCCATCACTTGGGGCTAGAATTAACCAGGCGACCAAGCTACATAGATACATCATTTCCCCTTTCAACCCTTATTATAGGTGATGAACATGGCCATGGTCTACTTCAATATTTCTTTCAATATAACAAAGCTGCACCTTATGTCCTATTCCTTATTACAGGGCTTGGGAGATGTGGCTGATTGTTCTAGTCATTTACTCTGCCTGGATCTGTCCATTCGAGTTTGCATTCCTAACTTACAAGAAAGATGCGCTTTTCATTGTTGACAACATTGTCAATGGCTTCTTTGCTGTTGACATTATTCTCACCTTCTTTGTTGCATATCTCGATAGCCAATCTCATCTCCTTGTTGATGATCCCAAGAAGATTGCCATCAGGTAAATAAGATGTTGCAGCATGTATTCACAAAGCCCCTTTCAACTAAAAAATGTCTATACTATTTGTGCAATTAATGAGCTTTCTGCATGATCTATCCAACAACTAGGTACATATCTACCTGGTTTGCTTTCGATGTCTGTTCCACAGCCCCATTTCAGTCTATCAGCCTCATGTTCACAGATCATGGCAGTGAACTAGGGCTCAGGCTACTCAACATGCTCAGACTCTGGCGTCTGAGACGAGTCAGCTCCTTGTTTGCTAGGTTTATAACTAGATTCAAACCCATGCCTTTTCTTTTCTTCAAAATTCTTAAACTGTTACAATGGGAGAACTACAATATTTACTTACAGGTTTGCTTTCCTTCAGACTTGAGAAAGACATCCGGTTCAACTACTTCTGGACTCGGTGTGCCAAGCTCATTTATGTAAGCAGTTGAAACTTCCTGTTGTCTCACCTCTATCAGATATATTGCCTTAATCATTTGAAAAAATAGGTTATTTTCCTCTCCGGTTGATTTCAGGTGACCCTGTTTGCAGTACATTGTGCTGGATGCTTTAACTATCTGATTGCAGATAGATATCCTGATCCTTCGAGAACCTGGATTGGTGCAGTATACCCAAATTTCAAAGAGCATAGTCTCTGGGATAGATATATAACTTCAATTTACTGGTCCATTACAACACTCACTACAACTGGTTATGGGGACTTGCATGCTGAGAATCCAAGAGAGATGCTATTTGATATCTTTTACATGTTGTTTAATTTGGGATTAACAGCTTACCTCATTGGGAACATGACAAACCTGGTAGTTCACTGGACAAGCCAGACCCGTAATTTTGTAAGTTCCTTTACAGATTTGGAGCTGTTTGAAATCATCATTAACCTACCAAGAGAACTAAACATACAAAATAAATTCTACAGGGACCAAAAGAAATTATTCGTCACAATTAACCCCACCATTTGTTGTAGAAAAAGTTCGTTTTTGTAAGACATGGTATCTACCCCACAATTTGACAACTTTATATGAAAATATTAAAGGCAAAATCCAGCTAAAATGTAATGTCAAGATTCCTTGCCATTTTATGACGTTACAAATCAAGTATGAGTGTTCAGTCTTTTTTAGTAGCTGATTTGAGCATTACAAGCTTTCAGCCCCTTCTTCAGATTCAACAGTATTTTCTTTTGACAAGGATGTCATCTCTAGCCTGGGATTGCTAATGACAAGAAACCCGTACCTTTTTTTCGTGAAACAGAGGGATACAGTCAAAGCTGCTTCAGAATTTGCGGTACGAAATCAGTTGCCCGCCCACATACGAGATCAAATGTTGTCACACATATGCTTAAGATTCAAAACAAAAGGATTGAAGCAACAAGAGACCCTAAATAGCTTACCAAGAGCCATTCGCTCAAGCATTGCACAGCATCTCTTCTTCCACATTGTGCAGAAAGCATATCTCTTCCAAGGAGTTTCTCATGACTTCCTCTTTCAGTTGGTAATACTTCTCATGGCTAACTATATTTGTCCATATCATTCTTCATCCATTACTCTCCTTTTAGGCTAAAGTAGTATATTAAATAAAAGGCCAGAACTATGGAGAGATCCACAAGTTTTGGTGTATTTTGCAGCAATGGTACACACATCATTTTGACTCTGAATTTCATTTTCACAAGATGCTAAGGCAACTTACTATTCCATTAAAGGTTTCAGAAATGGATGCTGAGTATTTCCCACCCAAAGAAGATGTCATTCTGCAGAATGAATCCCCAACAGATCTTTATATACTTGTCTCAGGAGCAGTTGTAAGTAGGCTTATTTTGATGTCTGCAGAATATATAAACTAAACAATGCCAATTTCTGACATTAATTTGGTGATTGGTTGAGTGACTACAGAACTTAATTGCCCATGCTGATGGGCTTGATAGGGTATGACATTTTTTTTTAACATCTAGTATTTTTCTTTATGGTAAATAAACACAAAAAATTTTACATGCTTGCATGTGGTGTGCAGGTTATTGTAAAGGTAGCTGCAGGGGAAATGTTTGGAGAAGTTGGAGTACTATGTTATAGGCCACAGCCATACACAGTTCAGACCACTGAGATTTGTCAAATACTACGACTGAATGGAACTTCACTGATGAAAACCATAAAAGTAAATATGGAAGATGGGCATGCTATAATGCATAATCTTTACATGGTAAATATCATATTAGACAACTCATAGAGTAATGGAACACTTGTTATTGTTATAAACAACAAATGATGGTTTGTTCTCGCAGAAACTGAATGGGCTACAGAGCAGCAGCTTTGACCAGCCCAACATAGATCCAGGGTTGACCCAAAACAAAAGTCTTGGGGGAGAAATGAGTGGAAGTTGTTTGGATGCTGTATTTGAAGAAATGGACATAGATTTCTTGGGATCAGAGGCTATAAAGAAGAGTCAAAAAGGTAGATCTCCAATGAATGGAACTTCAACAGCAGAGAATGGCCAAACATCTCTCCATGATGCTGCTCGCAAGAGGAATATTGAAATGGTTAAGATTTTGCTTGAAGGAGGAGCAAGTGGAAATAAACCAGATGCAAGAGGAAGGGTGCCAAAAGCATCGGCAGAACAGCAGGGAAAAAAGAGTATACATGAGCTCTTACTGAGTTACGAAAACAAAAAGAAATTAGATGAACATATGATAGAGATTATTGGATCAGAAACAGAAAATGACCTCAAGAATAGTCAAAGCAAACATAGAAGTGGGGCTCAAAATTTCTTCAATTCATCCAGTGATAGAGAGGTAAGAACACCGACTAGGAAAAGAGTTACTATTCACATGCAGTTCCAGAGCAGCAGTACAAGAAGACAACTTGGAAAGTTGATAATCCTACCTGATTCCATACAAGAACTGCTCAGAATGGCTGGTAAGTCTGACCAGAAAAGAGCACTTGGAAATAAACCTGAAGATGTGGGAAAAGCAATTATAAATCAACCTCAAATGTTACTAGAATCCAATTAGATTTAAGAAAAGAAAAAAGAAAAATAAAAAAAAAAATAGAGGGATTTTTAAACCATGAACAGGAACCAGAAAACCACTTTAGTTCAGTTACCTGCTTTTGCTTTATTCATTTCTCATTCCATAACCTTGTGAAACTGCAGGGGAAAAGTTTGGAGGCTACACGTTTACAAAAGTCATTAATGCCAAGAATGCAGAAATAGATGATGTACATGTCATTCGAGATGGTGATAATCTGTTTCTCCTTCAAGATGAAGATGACAATGTAGATTTCAATGTGACCTAAATAATAAAAGGGCAATCATGAATAGATGCAGAAAGTTTGTAACCTTTGGGCGATGCCAATGATAATGAATACATAACAAAAATATAACAGAATCAGTAGGATCTGGGACTTAAAATTGCAATTGTACCATAAATCAAAGTCAATCACATATGGTCATATTTCACTCAACAGTTGGTGGGCAAACCCCATCCACACATAATCTCAATCAGAAGAAATATATGTTACAATCCGGTCATGATTAGGTAGGCCTGGTAAATGCCAACATAACTTTTCTGTTTGTACGGTCTAAGTGTAGATCAACTCATTGATGTGTTGAACACAACATGTAAAGTCACCACCTAGGTAAACTGGGGACCTGGGCATGTAGGACTGCCTTCAGAACAAGATAAACTACTAAACCATGACAAAGACCAATGGATTCTGTGCCAAGGTCAAGAGACATTAAGCTTTTACATGCTTCCCTTCATGTTAGTGCCTCCCTGTAAATAGCATCTTTAATTGGGAAAGGATGAGCTTCTGTGTTAAAAACAAATTTATCCAGAGGAATAACAGAGGTATCCCCAAAGAGCAAGTACAAATACTTCAACGTTTCTCCAAGGAAAAAAGTCTCCATCTTGTCTCTTCTTTGAGGAGGAAGAGTGGTGACATCATCTAAAGAAGTGTATCCGCCAGAATCCACCTTTGTGTATTTCTCAAATGACTCAAATATGTGCCAACCCCACTCACGATATCTGCAATGCATGGTAATAGAAAAAAAAGGTTACACATGTGCACTCTATAAATATAGAAATTAAATAATAAGAAAGAGAAAGACTAAAAACTAAAGAAATAAAAGAGCATACTTTGGATCTTGAGTGATACGATACAATACAAACAAGGATTCAACAGTTTCAGGACGCAACAAATTGTGCCGGTCAGCATGTTTGATTATTATGTCATTTACATATTCTGAACTCTTATTTCCGCCATCAAGACCACCTTCAAAATATTCCTGTTTAAATCAGATCAAGACAGCAAATCATTATCTATCATAATTATATAATATGAAAAAAAGTAGTCACACATAGATGAACAAGCAAATATGAACCATGTTGGTGCACATGCAAATTAACTCAATTCTATGCTGCTTTTCACAAACAAGTTAATTGAAACCAACTAACCTTAGTATGGAAGTATGCAATTTCAGGAGCCAGACCAGTGGAAGTTACTGAATACATCTCAAAACATGTCTTGACTAAATCTTCTGCAAGTTTCAAGTTTTCCAGGTCTTCAAATGTAAGAAGGTTATCCTTCATGGCTTTCTCCTTTGGGATGCCTTTGGTGGCACCAAGTGCAAGAGTACCAGGCAAAAAACACACCTGGCAAGTACAGTAAAAATACTTTCACATCAATGAAGGATGCTCTTTAAGATCCAACAACAGAGAAATGCTTTCATGGGAGTCAATGATTAATACAGAAATATAACTTATGCATTCATGTATGACTGCATGTGAATAACTACAGCTATAATAGATTAGAAGCACTGTGGTGGAAGGACCTCCTCCACTCACTAACAGTTTCCTTGCACTATTCAGCATCATAGTTTTGAAAAGAAACAACCTATGATCTACAAAATACTGCTTTGAAGGTGTGGGATACTAGCCTAGTTTTGATGGTAAATATACGAGAACAACAACAGCTGCAATAGATTAGAAACACTGTGGCGGAAGGAACTCTTCCACACTCTAACTGATTCCTTGCATTATTCAGCGTCATAGTTTTGAAAATAAACAATCTGTGATCTACAGAATACTACGGCTTTGAAGGTGTGAGCTAATAGCCTAGTTTTGATGGTAAAGCCAATAAGTTTTGGTGCCAAGGAAACACAACCAAAATTGGAAGAGGGTATCACACAACACAAAGCAATTGAATTTCTACTTGATTCTGCAGAAGAGTGTCACATGCTATATGAACTTTGTCTCATGAAGAAACTTTGATGCAGCAGCACTAAAAAGACACATTAAAGTATCTGAAGAAAATTTCTCCCAAATAAAAGCTGGAGGACATTGGACTGTTCTGGGAAGAGATAGGAGGAATAAAAAAAAGGACCATTCACTACAATTTCACAATACTGGACATGAGGAGAACAAAGTCCTGATTCGCTCAACACAAAAGCATCCTCATTTTCTCAACAGTACAAACCTAGACATTATGTCCTATAAACACATCATGTGGGGGCTCATCCTCAAAAATATTCTAATGCTTTAAATAGTAGGATGACACGATGAGGGAAAATTTAACATCTACCACCTAAAATAAGAACACCAAACATCTCCATTTATCAAGGTATTCCTTAAACTCAAGGCCGAGAAAGCACCACATACCAGATGATCCATTTTTGGACTGAAAGCACCCATTGATCCATAAGGCAATTCCCCCACAAAAACCAATTCATTTGGTATTGATTTCTGAACAAGCAAGTGTCTAACACCCCTCATTGCCTCCTCATACATGTCATGCAGATATGTGAAATTACCATCCTGAATAGCTTGTAGCTGAAGCCACACTTTGATTAGGTACTCATAATAGCTATCACCTCGAGATCCAAGTCTAATATTTTCTCCACTAAATTCACCAGAATAAGGGCTGCATTTCATAGCAAGATGAACAAGAGAAAATAAATAAGTACTCACCAGATTGAGAGCTGTATTCCAAACCAAGGTGATCTCAGGACTAGATAATCTTAAGTAAATAATTATGATGATAGATGACAATGATGATAAATATAAAAATGATATACATGACAATTGTGAATAAACAAGGCCAATTCAAAAGGAACTTCTATCAGATGACTAAGGCATGAAAATTATTTCAAACAATCTATTATGTCATGTTGTCAACTTGTCATTTCTCTGGACCTAATGTCGTATCCAGTCAATGACAAAGACCAAAGACCAAAGAATTAAAACTTTCATTCTATATCTACCAATGAAGGTCAAGTAAATGATAAGTGTATCTAAATTCAAAAGGAGTGTGAAAATGTTCTGAGAGTTTTGGTACATCACACTGCTTTAGCCAAACAGGAAATCTGTAGATAACCTTTGCTTGGTGATGTTCAATAAAAAAAAATTGAAGAGAAAATGCACTAAGAAAAAGAAACAATAAAGGAAAAGAGAGGAACAAAGAAAGAGATATTGATAATATGTTCCTTGGATTGGAGACTACATAGCCAATCATTTCAGTACAAACTCAAGTATCCTCTAAGAAAAAAAACCCTGATAGAGTATGTATTATCTTTAAGTAATTATTTTTCTTCTTTTCATTCTTTTTCCTTTGTCCATTTAATCACATTTCATTTCATAACCTAGGCCATTTTGTTTTGGCATAGTAACTGAAGAGTAAATTAATTAAAAAATAAAGGGTGTGACAGCCAGCTGTCAAAAGCATCCAGCATGTTTTGATCAATCCAAAAAAGGTAACATAAGAAAAGAATTCCCATGATATTAATGAAAAACCTGGTATGACATTATTTTATTCTGCGTTTGATGACTAAAATCAGTTATCCAAGCAAAAGAAAATATTTGTCGATCTAAACTGGGCAGGCCAGAAAATCCTAGAAAGATATAAAGAAAGACATGGATGTTTAAAGTAATAATGGCTTGGGAATTCTGGCATATTTGAAGAGAAGGAAACATACCTGATGTAGATAGGAACTAGTCCTTCCACCTTTGGAAGAGTTTTCAAATGTGCCAAAACCTTCATCCCTTCTGTGCTATACTTCGGATCACCAGAAATTGCACTGAGGTAATTGAACTCAAGCTGTAAAGTGGAAACTTCTGAAGTACTACTCAGTCCATCAGGAGATGGATGTGCTGATGAATCACGTAGCACAACATCACTGAAAGGAATGGCAGTTGGACTAGAAGTAAAAGCAGACAGCAGACGATCAGCCAAGTTTTTTGCAATGTCTAGATAAAAAGTAGGTTTTGGCCCCTTGTATGCTGAGTTCATACCTTGACCCCCCCCACTCAAATGATATGCACTCAATAGACCACCCAAAACCCGTATTGTGGTTTCAAATAAATTAACTTGCCCTTTCTGACTAATCCTCTCTAAAAGGTGCAACTCAATCCAAGAGCCCGCTTCAGAAACAACTTCATCTAGACCCATTATCATGGCAGTATCAAGAGCATCTACAACCGTAGCACCTAGACCTCCTAGCCCATTAACTCCATGCTGGCTCACTGGCATAAGCTCATCAAAACCCATTGCAAACTTTTTATATCCAGACCATGCATGGGTGAAAGCCTCCTTTACATTTTGTTGTCTAGCTTTCCATTTTTCTTCAACATTAGGCTTGTTTGTTTTACCAGTAAAATTACCATAACTAACTTTTTCATCGGGTGATAATCGAGGAGGCAGCCTGGGTGCCCTTCTCCAAAGCTTTTTAAACCTGATGCCAACATCAGTAACTACTTTATGTTCTTCATTTCTCCTACTACCTTTAGCTAGTCCATCAGAAACAGAATGTGTTCTATTTGCATGAGTCAACATTAGACATGCTAAGCCAAATATCATTAACAACCCTAAAAACTTCCCTGTACTACAACTTACACATTCATGCCTCATATTACTGGCAAGTAAGGTCTGAGTGATCACCTGGAATACAACATAGAAGAATAGAGAATATATTCAAATTAAACATCTACTACACATCAAATGTTTAGCATGACAAATAAGAGTATAAGAGTTCCAAATAATGCAGACTATTTAGAAATGAAAGAAATAAGCTAAGACTGCCAAATCTTCAGCAATCTTGTTAGAAATTCTACCTATTTTTTCTACCATTAACACATCAGGCGATTCAGCGAATAGACTCTCAGTGGTCAACACTTACCAGAGAGTAACAATTAGTATGCTCCAAACATCAAGTTAAAATCAGATCTCAAACACCAAGCAATTAATTAGTGATGTGAAAAATGAATTTGTAGAACTTAATACGCGGCATGCTCCAAACACTTAAGTTCTAAACCACATTACTCTAACCAAGAAGCTAAATCTTAAAGCTCGCCAAGCTATGTGTAGTATCAAGCTTCAAGCTTAACAGGACTTAAATCAGACTCCTTAGGTTTTTCTCAAAACGATTTGGAATTTCTTTGATTTTTTGTGCTCTAATTTCCTTACTAAGCTTTTCTATTTCTCCCCTTTCACACTGATCGCTTTCATAAACATAATCGTGTTCACATTTAAATTACATCAATATGCAGATCAGCAAAGATAGCCTAGTAATTTGTCATTAGCTTCTTCTAAAGCAATTTCAACTGAAAAGGAACAAATTCCAATTCATCTCCATGAAAAAAAGGAAATCGAAAATTACAATTCAGGAAAATCAAAAGCCAAAAAAAAAATGCGATAAAGAAACAAGAACCTAGGAGTTAAATCCAGAGAAAAAGAAGGAAAATGGAGGGAGATCTAATACCTTGAAGAAAGACCGGTGACGGAACTTGGCGTTATCGTAGTGAACATCTTTCATAGAATAAGGAAGCGATTGCGACATGCTCGAAAGCTGTGATCTATTTTATTTCTTTCTAAATTTACCAGCTCAGGCGGGGTTTCTCCCGACGAGTTCGATCGGGAATTTGAATGGGCAAAAATAAAAATAAAAAAAGAAGAGAAAGTGCGAGAAAGCGAGGGAAAAATTATTGTGGGCGGGAGAACTGTTCCCGCTCCTGAGATAGGAGAGTAGTTGCAGTGCGCTTTCGTTTTTTAGATTTGCGAGTCAATGGAGGATCGTCGTCCGTTTTGAGGCAACGGCGGTAGCGGGAGAGAGAGGAAATTGTTTCTCCACGTATTGGCACGTTATAAAGTCGGCACAAAGGAACGTTAGAAGAGTTAGTGCTATAATCACAGCTTTAATCAAAGGTTAGGCACATTTATATCTGAGCCCAAATTCTAAAATTTGTTGGGCCTACTACGGTAATACCACATATAAAAGCTTTACACCCTGACTTTCATTACTAAAGGTGATAATAATTAGATTCGAAACAAATTTGATTTAATTTTTTTAATATTATATAATATTATAAAATTTTAAAATTAATTTGAATACGAATCAAATGAATTTATTATTTTAGTTTGATTTGATTTATCGATTTTTAAATTTAAATTTTTTATTTTTATATATTATTTTAATATAAAATTTTAATATATTTAAGTAAATTTTGATATAAAATTATTATTTTATTTTATAAAAATTTAAAATATATAAAGACTAAAATATATATAATTCAATTTAATTTAATTTTTTTATTTTTTTATCTTTCTGACTTAAAATCTAATTTAAATATAATATATATTTGATATCGAATTTAATACAAATTAAATTAAAAAAGTTTTAAATTAAATCAAATATTATAATTTCAAATCAATTTTTTTTCACCCTTATTCACGGCTATCTTTCACGCCTGAACCTTCCCCAAATTCCCTTGAAAGCTGCCGCTAGTGGTAGAGTTCGTAAGTTTTTTTTTTTTCTTTTTTGTAAAATTTAGGTTTGAGTTTTGCTTTCAATAACAGATTTTGACTCAGCTCATAACTAATCTTACAGCAGGTGCAACTAATGCTACTTACATAAGCGTTAATTAACTACAATTTGAAATAACCGTTGTTTTATAGGCAGGACCTAGCTACTAATGGACCGTACTTAATCACCAAGCCCACACCACTGCATGGTTCTGGTTTGTAACAACTTTGAAGCATTTCTTTGCTTTTGCCTTCCTCCTCGTCCCCTCTTCTTTCCGGCCTTCCTCATGCGATGAAATCTTACCCCAGATTGATACTGATCCTTCCAATTACCAACCAGCTGCCGCCTACCAAGTGTTGCGCATCAAGAACACCACCACCCTTGAACAAGCCAGAATTCGACAAGAAGAGAATGAGGAAGATGAAAGAAAGATAGATCAACAATAACAACTTCAAAAGCAGGCCTTTCTCTTTCATGCTCCCCAAGGGTTTTGTCCCTCCTTCAGGTTCATCTCCATGCCTGGCAACAATGACAAGCAGCCCTACTCTTCGGTTGCACTTGCCCATGCCCTTATGTGTGGCCTCTCCAGTACTGCTGCAAAACCCTAGAGCTGGGTAACCCGTAACCCCACAAGATGTTTTCATCTGATACTGAACAGATAAAGATGCATGTTTTAGTCCAAGTGAATTTTTTTGTGCTTTCCACTTTGTTTTTAATGCATGATCAATCGAAAACAATATGTGCAGATCTTGTCATGAGGGATATAATAAGATCAGTGGAAATATAGTACATAGATGTTCTGCATTTCTGCTAATCCTTTTCTTAATTTTGCCTCTGTATTTCCTTGCCTCTGTAATCCTTTTCTATAATATATATACATACATATATATATATAAGCAATGATATTGGTAAAACATTTAATTGTTCATTATATTATTTTAAATTTTAACAAAAAAAGACAACAAATACTAGAAAACAAAGAATTGAAAATAAAGTGTCTCAACCAAATGGGAAACATTTTTATTAATTCCAAACAAACAATATAAACTCACAAATATTCATTACATTATTTGATTATTATTTCATATATCAATTGTGAAGTTTCTAAACTCCATGATTAAAATATTATCACATATTAACTTTTTAATTTTTTAAATAATATGTGGCAACCCTTGATGTAATTTAAAAACTCTAATATTTTTTTAACATAATCAGTCACATAAAAAAAAAAAATCATTTCATCTCTTCTGCCTCATCTTCAAACGCTGTCACCGGAAAACTCTTTGACAGTCCCATGGGAATAGCAAAAGTGATTTTGCTAGGATCAGCATCATCCACAGAAATATCAGAAAGAGTAATCCAGATCATCATCTCCTTGCTTTTGACACCTGTCAACTTCCGCATCCAACAATCCTCAAGGAACCTCGTCATCTCGGGTGGTCCATACGAGGCGGCGCCAAGGGCCTTGCACTAATACTTGAAGGTCTTCTGCTGTTTGAGCTAGATGAACCCCGTGGTCCGTTTGTAGCTGACCTCGATGAGGTTGTTCAAAGGCGTCAGCCCTTTGGGCAGGCCGAACTCGTCGAGGAGCTCCTGCGTTTTTTGCTTGCTAAGAGCCGCCCCATGGTAGATCTCAGCCCCTTCTAGATGAGTTGCTATTTGCTTTGATGCCATGTTCGTTTCAATTCGTTCCTTGTGAGAATGCAAATTCTAAAGATACAATAGTCCTCATATATCGACGTTTTTGCCTTTCGGAGGGAGAGTGGGAGAGTTTAAAAGGTTAGTCATGTGTTTTTTTTTTTTTTAATTATTTTAAGAAATTTTTTTATTTTTTTAATTTCATTTGTGAAGATTAGCACAATTTTTATGATTTATTCTCATTTTTTAAGTGTGTGCACTAAGCTTGCCTAATTATATGTTGATCATGAGGAAAAAAATAAATAAAAATCGTGAGGCATGAGAGGTATTGCTGGATTAAAAAAAAAAAGCTATTAACTGGTCTTCCTATTATACTACATGAAAAGATTGGTGCATCTAAAATATTGTACTTCAAGGGATCACATATATAAAATTGAAATTGATCATTTTTGGTTGTTTTCTGGGAAATTCTCAGATTTTCGTTTTTGGTGAATAGAAATTGTAAGATTCAGAAAATGAAACCGAAACCAAAGTGCATTAAATTTGGTTTCTCCATCTGATTTTTGTCAGTTTGGTCTTAAGGCTTCATAGGCCATATTTAATAAAACGATAACCAAATTTAACTGTAACACAAGCCAAGCCCAACTTAAATTATGAAAGGGTTTCAAAGTCCAACCAAATTAGGATAAATTGTAGTTTTGGTTAAATTTGATAATCTAAAAGATAATATGTTGATATGATATAAAAAATATAAATATAATATAATTTAAATCATATATAAATTTAATAAAATAAAAAATATTTTATATTTTCATGTTAATATGAATTATAATATATAATTTTTATATAAAATATGATATGAATAAATAAATTATTAGTATTGATATTATATAAATACATGATCGTCAAATTTAATTATGACTCAAAGAAATCGAATTAGTCAAGCCAATATTATCACATAGTAAGAGCTTTAAATTGAGCAAAAGAATTTGCTCCATGAATACAACTTGTTTCACTTAAAAAGGGAAATTAATTTAAAATTGTATGGTTGATCTATTTTTAGGGTGAGATGTCAAAAACATGTTTTTTTTTTTTGTATAAACATGTTAGAATTTTTTTTATTAAAATCACTTTATATATTGTATAGGAAAATTTATCTCATATTATATATGCATAAAAAGAATTTATAACTTGCATGTAGGTATTATAATAAAAGAGAAAGGGTTTTGTGAAATTTAGTATCTTCATCTTAAAGCAAATTGTTGTACTGATTCGATGAAATCTTTTATTTGTCAAGGGTTCTGAGTTTTCATCAAATTACATATTCCTTGATGGAGTTAAAGATGTACATCGACTGGGTTAGGTCAAGGTCTACACTTTTAAAAGCTTGTCAAGACTTGACCACCCATAAATGCCCATTAAAAAATATTTTAAAATTTTAAAATTTTTTTATTTTAATATTTAATATTTTAAATATATATTAAAATTAAAATTTTTATTAATAAAATAATATTTTGAACCAAATTGAGATGAACCCAAACATAAAAAAAAAAAATTATCCAAAATTTGACTCAATTAAATTTAATGAGTTACTAGATTGTGAATAATTTAAAAGACGTAAAAAATTTTTAGTTCGATGATATTATTTTTATCATTTGAGATTAATTATTTAATAAATAAATTTACTCTTATTAAAAAAAAAGTGAAAAGATCAAACAAATTCTATATGAAATTCTAAGCAAATAGCGGTTGTCAAATCTCAAAACATATTAAGTTTCAATTTGGATTTTAAAATACGATGGATTAAATTTAAATATCAATTTTATTAAAATTAAATTAATATAAATTTTTTATTAAAATTTTTTTAATCATAATTAAAATAATTTTTTTTCAAACGTAATTATAATATTTTTTATTATTATTTTAAACTCATAATAATCAATCTCACCGTCTAACCAAATAAAATCTAACTAACATCATTTATATGAAACTTTATTAAATACTTGAGTAAATCACAAATTAGGGTATACAACCAATTGAAAACCGTCATGCATTTACTCTTTATTTTACTGCGTTCATTGAATTTAAAAGCTTCCGAAGAATAATACAACTGCCCCAGCCAAACAAATCATGAAAAAATGGTTTGGTTGTCCTACCAACCTGTTATGTTTTTCAGCTTTTCTCCGTGAAATGTCGCTTGGTTGGTTAGTTTTTTTTTTCTTTGTTATTTTTTCCATATAAATTTCACCTTTACTTTTTTCTATTCCAATGTAAGACACATTAGTTAGAGACAAAATCAACTACGGGATTCACCCCACATTTCCATAAGATACTTATGGCAGCTGCTGCCATTCAAAAAGAAATGTTGATATCTTTTCCTTTTGGTTCTTTTGGATCTGGGCCCCATCACCAGCTTCAATATTCCCAAATTTTTTAAGGTTGTGCCTGTATTCCACTACAATCTGCTCAAACACTTCCACCTCAAACAGGTTCAACTTGATCTTTGGGTTCATCTGATCTCTCACGAATGCAAAACCCAGTTGGTCTCTGGGGTTAAATGCTTCCAACTCATTGAACAAAAGGCAGGAGAAAAGATTGCTTCTCAATCCATGTTTCCTCAAGATTAATGCACTATCTGGTACATCTGCCAACCAAACATAAGAGAAAAAAAATACTATGATAAAACAAAGAATTTTTGTTGATCATGAATTCTACAATAAACAAGGACAAAATAGATTATTATGATGTTTTGAATATGCATGTATAAAAACCACTCTTCAACATTATCGCCAAAGCTCGCTGCTATTTCATCAGGAAGCATCACAAGCATACTGGGGCCCCATTTATTATTTGATTAAGACGTTTCTTTTGCATTTTTGTGGGACCACCATTAGGTTTTTATCAAACTCCGATGTCTCAACCCTCAAGGCAAGAAATGATTGTAGTATCCGTCAAGGCAAAGTAAGAGTAGGTAGTTTTACTTAGGAATATTAAAAACAAGCCGAGTGACAAGTATCAATGAGAAAATCTTATTTGAATATAAAATAAAAAAATTTTAAAATTTAATAAATACGAAATAATATATTTTTAATAAATTTTCATCATATGTATTCGTAATTACATGTATCTCATGCTCTGAATGAATATAGATACAAAAAATATAACAAAATTTTAGTTTTGATGGATGTTAAATATCTAATTCAAAATAAATTAATCATAAATAAAAAGATCAACTTTAAATATAAAATCACAACAAAACTTAAGATATATAAGATAATATCACTTTAACTTTAACTTTAACATGAAAGAGAAAAAGAGAGGATATTATTTTTCCACCAAGAATCTAACTCTTTCTCTATATGTATTATTGAAACTACTGCTTCTTAATCTTTTTTACAAGGCTTCAATATTCTTATCTAATTTAATATTCTTTTTGTCCCATTTTATATGTTTTGTATTGATTTTTTATCAAAAGAATACAACTTTGATCATCATTTTTTAAAATATTATATTAAATTAACATTTTTACAAATAGTTTTAAAAATTTTAAAATTCAAACTTTATAAATCTTGTTTTTAAAATTTTTTAGTTTCATGATTTTATTAAAAATATGATCACAATTGAATTAATTTTAAAAAAATCGATAAGAGATACATAAAATGGGACAAAGAGGGTAATTTTTTCGAGAATTGTCATTGAAGTAGCGTTAGCCGTTTACTTCTCTTTGGAATTTGAACATTGTCAGCTTCGTCACATGCAAAGTTAGCCAAAATCCTCAAGAAAAATACACATATGTAATGAATTAATAAAATTATCAATCATGGATTATCTCAAAAGTCAAAATTCCAAAAACTAATCCCAAGTGGATTATGGATGTGCTTTCAAGGAACGTCAAAACTACCCAAGTAGTCATGATCTGCTTCTTGAAGCACATGACAAGGTTAGTACCTAACAATCAAAATGAAACTATGGTGCTAATTTTTCTATAATATTTAATGATCATTTCTAATAATCATAACCTAACCTAACACGTACATATTTTAAAAGGGATTTGTTCATAATTATTCTTATGTATAATTGTAAATTTTTCAATACAATAAAATCGTAATTTGAAAATAGAATAAGTATTCTAATTAAATTTTAAATTTATCGAATATTATTTTTTAAAAATAATCATATGAATCAATTAAAATAAAATTATGAATTTATACTGATCACATTAAAAAATAATGAATTTGTTGGTTAAAACTAAAACTAATTAAACTATTATATAAATACAATTATGAAGAAAAGAGATTAAATATATAATATTTATACAGCTCAGTTTGGGTAATAAAAGCTTGACGAACAACTGATTTTGTTCGAGTATCTAATTAATAAAGTGTCTATTCATTCAAACCGACTAGACGAAAGAATCAAAGTAAAGTTCCATGTTTGTTCTGGCATCATTTTTTTTGCGTGAGTGTCATCAATATTATGAAAAGAAAATTTCCTTCCTCTGGAAGGGAAAGATATCGTTTTGTTTAGCTTAGCTTATGGTTCCAATTTCCAAACAGTAATTTGAAATTTCATTACCATAATAAACAATTAAATAAAGTGACGTGTGGATGAGATTTTTACCTGTGGTATGGGGGAGCTTATCGGGAGTCCATGGCTGCAGCCCATTTTCACAGTATGTCTCCATTTGCCTGGTCAAGGCATCAACATCCAACCACTTCTTCCACCTTGCCGTCGCCATAGCTTCTTCCATAGTATGAATATAGTATGGATGCTTTGATATAGCCATGTCTGCGTTCGTTGATACAACAAGAGAATGTATCAACAACAAAGGATCCACCATTAGCTGAAGCTTAGCGTCTATCCAAATGCTGAACTTCGAGTTTGGAAAAAGTCTATGAACCAAGTATTTTGGAATTACTCCATTCATTGCAGGATTCTCATACAGTTTCTTGGAAGAAACTTTAACGATTCTCCAAACCCCGACTTTATAGCCAGTTGAGTTTTGTGGGATTAGTTTGTGATAATAAAGTCCTTTAAGAGTTATATCGTCTATAAACATGAAGAAACATACACTCTTTAGGGTTTTGGATCCAAGTCCTACCGGTTGCCGGATTTTGTCATGATCATTGAAGATTGCAGATACTACAACAACTCCATTGCAGCTTTCCATGGCAATTCTATCTGAATTACACCATAAACAAACAAGTTAGAAGAGAATCAAACATAACAACATATATGATCAAAATATAGCAGATTATAGGATTAGTTTAACAATAAATGAGGCAGGATTGAGGATTTTTACAATAAAATGGACTGAAAATGTACTGAAAATGTAAGGGAAGGTCTCAGTTCACAAATTGGAATACGATGACTCTAAATTGCAAATTGTCGAGAATTCAGATAAAAAACTAACCGGAATTGCTAACTGGGAAATTCTTTAAAAATCCACAAGGGACTTTCATACCATTATTGGAATGATTAAAATAAGAAATTCTCTTCTGGGTACTCAAACTTCCACCAAAAGTGTCACCTTTCCCCTGTAAGTACCTCAGAGCCGGTAAAAAAGCTGAAGAATTCTTACACAAATTATGGATCTCATCCACCACCATTCCATAATCTGATCACAAAATCCAATACCCTTTAATCCAGAATCACCAAAACAATCATGAAAACCGAAACTTGAATAAAAAAAAGCTGTAAAGAAAAAAAGCTGAGATAAGACAACATACCAGAGAAAAAAACAGGGGAGGAACAAGAAGAGCGGTGGGTGGGGAGAGCATACTTGTGTTCTCCATAAGAAGGAGGGTAAGAGAAGAGTGGGGTTTGGATTGGATCGAAAGGAGAGGATCTGAAAAGGCATTTGGTTGGGGAGCGAGACTGGTAGAGAGCAAGGAAAAGGGTGGTGAAAAGATACAGAAGAGAAATACAGAGGAGCTTTGATTGGAAGAACAGAGGAGTTGTTGTGGCGGTTACCTTCCCCATAAAGCGATTACTATTTCCATGTTGAGTTTTCCTTATTCATAGCATCATCCCCTTCGCTTGTCATTTCTTCTTTTAGCTTTTCAGCTGCATTTTTTTTTAGGTAAATAATCTCATGGTTTGAGCTCATCATAATAAACTTGTACTAAGTTCCCAACAGCCAAAAAACAGAGGGCTGTTTTGCAATTTACATAGTTTAATTAGATTTTCTAAGATTTTTTTTATTTGTTACAAATGAGAAAGTGAAGGGAAAAATGGAATTTAAATTTTACACCTTAATTTATGTTAAAGAAATAATAATCATTAACTCAAACTCAATAAAAAAATATTTAAAATTTAGTTCAGTTAAATTTTATAACCACTTTAAAAGATAACATTGAATAATTTAAATTTTACAATTCATTTTTAATAAAAAGTTTCAATAAATAAAATAAGTGTCCAAATTTGTTTGTACATTTTTTTATTGGTAACCTAAATATTAAAGTTAAAAATAACCAGAATAAGCAGAATATTTTATTCAATTTGGCATTTTCTTCTTCTCTTGTATTTATTACTAGGTATCTGTGTACTAGTTGGGGCCTGTCCTGATAGTTATTAGCTGTTCTTGTTTCTGGTTTATCCGGTTTTTTAAAACTTTGTAGCAGATTTTCTGCTTGCTTTGGACGATGATACAAACTTTCACATATCCAAAAAAACAAAAAAAAAAAAAAACTCAGCCTTGCAAAAAAAGATGTTTAAGATGATTGAACCTTAATTATGCATTCAAGAGACATTAAGGAAAACAAACCAGGTTTGGATATCAGCAGGAGCTTAATGTTTCTTACGTTCATTTATTTATTTTGGTACAAAGAAATATTCTTTTCTTACAATTGGCCTGATATTATCAAGTGCAATAAATCACTATTTTCTCTGTAAGATTCCCTTCCCATCCCTCCAGAATAGAAAATGTTGTAATCCTAAATCTTCAAACTACTGTAAGAAAGAGAGGCAAAATTTATAGATCATTGAAGCGGTGTTGCTTATTCAGTGATGCAATTCCCGGTAGACTTAGTACTGTTTTTTGAGTTCTGTTGCAGCATCAATATCTTGCTCGAGCAGATTGACTGCATTCTCAAACTCGATGAACTCATGACCATGGATGATGATTTGAAGAGTGAAAAATAATATTATTTCTAGGGTTATACAATACATATATATATTTATATATATACAAGTGTATAAATGGGTTTAAAGTCCATTAAATATATCCAAAAACAAAGCTTAATCTTATAAGTTAACTAAACATAATATATATTTTAATAGTCTCTCAAATTGAAGATGGTTCGAAATGAAACATTTGAAATTTGGAAATTAAATAATAAAAACATGAACTTTAAAGAAATTTTGTAAAAAGATCTGCCACTTGTAATTTAAAAGAAATATACGGTAGCATGATGGTACTTTTGCATATCTCCTATTTGATAAAATGATAATTTATTTCAATATGTTTTGTCTATTCATGAAAAATATCATTGTGAGTAATTAAAATTGCACTCTTACTATCACAAAAGAGTGGAATAGGATTAGGCTTGTCAACACTAAATTCATAAATAACCGACACAATCACATAATTTTTGCTGTAGTGTCTGATAAAGCTCTATACTTTGTTTCAGCACTTGAATGCACCACAATTGTTTGCTTTTTGCTTTTCCTAGATATCAAAGAATCACCTAGAAAAACACGTTAACCAGTTGTAGAATGTCTATCATTAACATTACTAGCCCAATTAGAATAAAAAAAAAAAACATGAAGTTCAAGTTTAGAAGTTGATGAGAACAACAAACCTTTATGTAGCGTTCCTCGCAAATATCTCAATATCTTAAAAACTACAGTAAAATGAATTGTCCGAGGTGCTATCATAAATTGGCTTTCAACTTGAACTACATGACTAATATCAAATTTTGTAATTGTCAAATATATAAGACTACCAACTAACTGTCTATACAAAGTAGCATCATTGAAAAATTCTCCATTAGGAGCTTTCATTTTGACATTAGTTTCAAGAGGAGTGTCAACAGTTTTATTATTAGATAAGCCAGCTTTAGAAATAAGATCAGAAGCATATTTCACTTGAGACAAGACATATCCATAGGAACAATCAACTTCAATTCTCAAAAAATATCGTAATGGACTAAGATTTTTTATCTCAAAGGTTTTGCTAAGATGATTTTTTATATTTTGAATACCAAGGTTATCATCTGCAGTTATCACCATATCATCAACATAAATAAGCAAAAATACAATATCTTTTTCAAATTGATGAATAAATAATGCTGAATCATAAGGATTTTGCATAAATTCGGAGTCAAGTATAATAGTGCTGAATTTTTCAAACCAAGCCTGCGGTGTTTGTTTAAGACCATATAAAGCTCGTCAAAGCTTGCACATTTGATTAGTTTGGCAAGACAATCTAGGAAGAGGTTTCATATAAACTTCTTCATTAAGATCTCCATTCAAGAAAGCATTTTTTACATCTATTTGTGATAAAGCCTATCCTCGAATAGAAGCAATAGCTATAAGAGTTTGAACAGAAGTCATTTGAGCTATAGGAGCAAAGGTTTTTTATAGTCAATACCATACTCCTATGTAAATCTTTTTGCAATCAATCTAGCTTTATATATCTCGATAGACCCATTTAATTTAGTCTTTACCTTGTACTCCCACTTACAATCCACTACAGATTTTTCAAGAGGTAAATCAACGAGATCCCAAGTATGAGTTTTTTCTAAGGCATCCAATTCTTCTTTTATAATTGCTTGCCATAGAGGATTAGAACTTACTTCACGATAAGATTTAGGTTCATAAACAAAAAGAATAATAGGCAAGAAATAATGAAAATCATGATAATGTTTTGAAGGAATTCACTCACGTATTGAACATCTAAGTTTTAGGACAGATGACTCTGATGAATTGGAAAATGGCGGTGCATGATTTCTTATGGTAGAGTCAGTGATAAGACAATATTCATTTGGATGAATTTGCTGAGAAGTTGGAGAACTTTGGGACACATGAGAAGATTGATTAGAGTTATTTAAATCAACAAGAAGATAAAAAATAAACAAAAGACTCATGAGGATCAATGGTAGATTTTTAAAACAAGGCAATGAATACTTCAAAACATTTTTTCAAACAGTAACATGTTGAGAAACACGAAGTTTTGTGCAATAGGATCATAGCAATAGTATCATTTTTGTCTAATACCATACCCTAAAAACACATAAATGATAGTTTTTTTAAATAATTTATCACACTGAACTTTGGAAAGCGAAATAAAACATGTAGAACCAAAAATACGAAGCTTAGAATAATTAGGAGTATTGTTATACAAGTGTTCAAAAGGGAAAATTCCACCAATGACAAAAGAGGAAATATGATTAATAACATAAATTGAAGTAAATGTAGCTTTTCCCTGAAATTTCTTAAGAACCAATAAAGATAACAACAAGGCTCTAGAGGTTTTTATGATATGACAATGTTTTATTTTAGCAACACCATTTTGCTATGGTGTATCAATATAAGATGATTCAAAAAGGTATCTTGAGAAGCAAGAAACTCTTTTAAATTACTTGATTGATATTTTCCAGCAGAATCAACATAAAAATGTTTAATTGTTTTAAAAAATTATGTTTTGATCTTGGTAAAAAAATCTTGATAAATTTTAGGTAAATTCGAACGATATCGAAACAAATAAATCTAAATGTACCTTGATAATCATAAATAGAAACAACATAATAACAAGAACCCCCATAGTAGGTAAACGAGATGGGCCTCACACATCAGAATGAACAAGATCAAAAGAAGATAAAAAAACTTATTCATTTTTATTAAAAAGTAAAATAGACTGTTTGCTAGTTTGCAACTGATACAATTATTTGAAGTTTTTGACTTAATATAACCTAACTTGCCACTAGATACCAAATGTTGAAGTCTAGAATAAGAAATATGTCATAACTTATGATGCCAGAGGAAAAAAGATAAAAACTTTTGAACACTAGAAACTAATAAAGATTTTCACACAAAAAGGATAATCAAATTGACTAAAAGGACAATGTGACACATGGAAGTTTCCCAAAACAAATAATTTTTTAATTCTACAGCCTGTCCTAACCACTTTTCTCATCAAGCAATCTTGCACCATAAACCATGAAAGTGAAAAATGACATTAAGACCTTGATCATATAATTGACCAACAGGTAGCAAATTTATGAAAAATGATGAAACCAAAAGAACATTATTAAAAGAAACATTTTGAGAACATGAAACAAAGCCAATATGAATAGTAAACATATTTAAATCATTAGAAGTATTAATAAAAGGTAAACAAGTAATAGGACTTGAAGAGTCAAAGATAGAATTATCAAAAGTCATATGATTAAAAGCTTTAGAATCAATGATCCAATCTTTAAAATTAGTACATAAAATAGTTAACAATGCAGATGTAGAAGAATTATTATCCATAGAGTTATTACTCATACTAGAAATAACCTATCAAATAATCTTTTGAGTTTGATCTGTAGTGAAGTGAGAGTTAACATTAAAATTTTTTATAGACAATGTCACAATAACAATTCACCCCATTTTATGCAAGCCAATTTTTTTTTTCAATTCTAGGCAATTATGCTTTATAGGTTCAAACTTGTGATAGTAGTAACGTTCAATTTTAGAAGAATCTTTTTGTTGAGAAAAGCCAAATAAGTTGAAGATAAAATTTTTCGGACATACAACAACTACTAAAATAGTATCATCCACTCTTTTGGAGTGATTGAGGATGCCTTTCTTAGTTTATTTAGCCATCAATTCTGACAAAACAACACCAACAGAAAGAGAAAGGACACAATGTAGAATAGAAGCATGAATGGACTTAAAATCATCTTGAAGTGTCATTATGCATTATGCAAGACGACTTTCTTCTCTATATTAGTAATATAATTCTACATCAACAGTCCATTTAGGTTTCATAAGAGTTAATTGATCTCAAATAATTAACATTTCAAATGAAAATTAAAAATTGATTATCACTTTCTTTGTTTCAAAGTAGCAATATTTATCTCAAGT